ACTCATTTGTCCTTGGAACACTAGAGATTTTTTGAGACTTAGGAAAAACTCTGAGTCATGGGTTCATGGGTTAATTAACACTGGTTTTTGGGAGTCTCGCCATGTGATGGTTTCAGTAGTCATAATACTAATGGTGCCTTTCATTTGGAGAGCAAAATTTGTGGGTGAGATCAGGAGTTGCAAGCTTTCCATCACATCTGAATTTAAAATAAACAGCAACTTAAAACACAGTCTATGATTATAGTGAAGAGTAATTATGACAGTAATTGGAGGAAATATTTTTAAGGAAGCATTACATGTAGAGACATGTTGTTTGAATAAACCTACCATTAAAAACTCAGTATCATCTTCTTGCAGATTTGGACTTATTAAACTATTTTCCACTATAACCTAAGAAGAAACAAATGGTTTTCAACCATAGCAACTAGAGTAATCGCCAATAAGACCTCAAGAAACTCTGGATAATGACTCTCAATCTGGACGCTGCTGCCAACACAAGAGTCCGTCAGTTTGCAAAGCTGTGGCTTGTTCCTAACAGATCGGGTCACACCGTGGAGTCCCCAATTTACTTAAATCTGTTACTTTATTTCAAGTGCTAATTGTCTCTCACAACAAACAGACACTCCTCTCAGCTGCAATTATTGGCATTACAATAGATAATCAACAGGAAAGCCTGAACAAGGAGCAGAAGAGTTGCCTTGGTTACAAGCCTGAGATGTTTTGGTATTACTTTTCTAGCCATGTTGCAAAATCTCCTAAACCACCCCAAGGGCGAAGTGTTGTATTCTTTTCGTTTCTTCTTTGTGGCCCATCCAAATTAGTTTTAACCGATATGAATTTAGTCTTACATAGATATTTTTAAGAAGTCTTTCATTTGGAACATTTGTGTATACATGTTCATGCACTTAAAAAATAATAAGAAGGAATCCGAGTTACTGTTTCTTGTTAAAGAAGCATATTATTATATTTGCTCATTACACAGTCACACAATGCAGCCAACACTCCACATTATACTCTCATCTCTCTCTTTTTTCGAGCACACAGAAAAATAAATCACCTTATAACCTACCGCCATTCTCCTCCCAAAATGTGATTGCCCCACTTAAGTGCAGAATGAGTAGGGCCACCGGTCAGGCAGGCCAAAAGGTAGACCTCCGTGACAGGGCTCTGCTAGTAACTGTTTTGTTTTGTTGCTTTGCTTCCTCACTTATTTAGGAAATTGAGGTTTTTGAAATTAGGATGATTATTCAAATAATGATCTATTAAAATAACGAGCTACTTAGAAAACACATAAGAAAATCCATGCTGTCCTTCATAAAACATCTTGGTGTTTATCAGGTATTAGTAGCCAGTATGATCTTTCTCTTCACTCACTAATCTTGGGTCCAGGAGATAGTTTATTTCCAAAGTACCATGTGCACCCCCAGCTGTCTTACATTTCACCTACCTCAATGAAGATCTCCCGAAGTACAAATGATTGCTACCATTTATTTAAGGACTTAATACTTAACCAACCCTGTATTAGAACTTTTAACATTGTACTAGCTAATCATTGCAATAATCCTGTCATTCAGGAATTCCTATCCTCATTTACAGATAAGGAAACTAAGGCTTACAATATGGCTTCAGAGGGATTTTTTTAATCCAAAAATGTTTTTTAGTAACAATGGAGTGGAATGCTTGAGCCAGAATACTGAAGTAAAATCCTAACTCTGCCACTTAAGGCTATATGATTATTGGCAAGTTATTTAATCTCTCTGTCATAGACTTTTTATCTATAAGTGGAAGAAAGTAAAAGAAAGAGGATCAGAGTGAGAACGGAGTTAATATATGGAAAGCACTTAAAATATGGCCAGACACATGGTAATTATTGAATGTTAACTCTTTAAATATTTGTAATATTGTATAATTTCCCAAAGTAATTATGTTTTAATGTTTCAATTATATTATGAGTTATTTCTCATATCTATAATAAGTTTAATTATTTTTACCAAGTCATTGGAGATTAGAAAATATCAGTGTGGTATGAAGTATTTCTATATAGTGCTTAGCATAGATGGATAGGCAATACAGAGTTTAAACATAAACATGTACTATTATCTTGTTATTTATATATTTACTAATATTTACAACTAGTTTTAATCTTTTACATTATTATCTAGAGGCGTCAAATATCTCAGTCAAAGCTGACACTTTGCAAAAATGTCACAAGGATATCTTCCTATTTGCTGTTTACCCTTCTAGTTATTTCATTCATGTTCCCCTTTAATTCCTTTAGAGTCTATCTCCCTGGGTTTTCTTCTTTAGAAAAACCAGTTTTCAAATCTTTCCATGTTTACGTATGCTCATTATTAAACTACTGTCTTCCAGATCAAAATCCATCCCTCCATATTCTGTGATGCTAGGGCTCTTACTTGGCAAAAACCACAGTAGCCCCCTCACCTTAGCCATGAGATACCTTCCAAACCTCCAGTGGATGCCTGAAACCATGGCTTGTACTGAACCCTAGATATACTGTCTTTCCCTATGCATATATGCCTAAGATAAAGTGTAATTTATAAATTATGCACAGTAAGGGATTAACAAGAATAACCAATAATAAAGTGGAACAATGATAACAATATGTTGTAATAAAAAGTTAGGCGAATGTTTTCTCTTTCAAAATATCTTATTGTGCTGTACTCACCCTTATCTTCTTGTGATGTGAGATGATAAAATGCCAATGGATGAGATGAAGTGGGGCAAATGATGTTGGTAGGCATTGTGACCTAGGGTTAGGCAGCTATTGACCTTCTGATGATGGGTCAGAAGGAGGAGCATCTGCTTCCAGACAGCGATTGTCGGTGGGTAACCAAAACTGTGGGAGCGAAACCTCAGATAAGGCGGGGACCACTGTATTTCTCCTTTTGTCTGTTAGGCATGATCTCTAGAGGGCAGCAGAGAGAACAGGGACTTGCTTTTTACATGCTACTTGTTCATGCAATAGCTTAGTTGCAGTAGAGGTCCCAATTTCAGCTTTCATCACTCCCAGATACCTTTGAACACCAGCTGGGTATGCACCTCCTCAAAGATCTGAGTCCTAAACCCATGGAGCCACTCCTCTGACTTCCTGAGGTACCAGAAGCTGCTAAACAGCTTCCCCTACTGAGAAGTCTGAATTCCAACTCTGCAGGGCCTTTTTATGTTGGTCAGGCCTTCAACTGGTTGGATGAGGCCCACCCACATTAGGGACAGCAATTTCCTTTATTCAGTCTGCCAATTTAAATGTTAATTTCATCCAAAAACAACCCCAGGGAAATACCCAGAATAATGTTTGACCACATAGGTGGGCCAGTCAAGATGACACGTAAAATTAACTATCGCATTTGCGAGTAAACAAAGTGACCAGTTGAGATTGTCCCAGTGGTCTAGTAGTCTATCAGAGCTTTGGCCCTCTACCTTGTCCCCGCCTTACGAGTCTGGGACTGTTGCCCCTGTCACCCAGGGCTTCTTTCGTCTTTGTTGGCAGCTGGAATGGCCTCTGCAGATCCCTTGGGCCCCTGCAGACCATGAGTCCTGCAAGTCAGTAGCAAAGAAATAACTTGGAAAAAGTGGACTAAATAAGGACGGATAAGACCCCAACGTAATCTTAAGAAAAAAAATTACTTCTCTTTCAAATGGACAGTGAATTTTAAATGTGTATGATTGTTTCCTAAGAGCTATACCAGTCCAGTTAGGGTACTTCTGGGGAAAAAAAATTAGACCAAGAGTCAGCAATATGAACTTCCTCTTCATTACGAGTTTTCTGATGACTCTTTGTTACCCGATTTATGTCAATAGCAAGTAAAACACAGGGTCTAGCAGTACACGATTTTTAAATTATTCAGAGACTGATTCTATGGGTTGTGAATTCCTGTATCTATTTTCATATCTCACACTTCCCACATTCATTAGCATCTCCAATAAGTGTGGCGTTGAAAAGTGAAATTCATAAAATGGGATCTTTCCAATCTAAAAGAGATTTAAAGGCTAACCATGTCTTCTCCTTAACTTTGTGAGTTAGTCAGTTGTCTTAAGAAGGAAAAATAAATTGCCAAGGCATGTGAATGAGTTAGTGGAAAGGATTAAAATCAAGCAATTTTTTACTTATAAACTTGCTTACACCTCTAAGGTGCTTGACAGAATATGACGATAGTAATGAAAGTAAGATTGGGGGATTATAAAGATTTTAGTTTTGTCTCTCATTGCTACTCCTTCTATGGAAAAATAGAAATTGACTTTAATGGATCGCCTCTGTTCCTGGAAGAGATAGACAATGTTTCCTAATCCACAGTCCCAGGCCTAACTGCTGTGTGCGTGTGCATGGTGTCCTTCCCTTTGAAAATGTTGATGGTGACAGTGTCATGATTATAGCTGAAAAGACCAAACCATTCCCAGCCAGCGTGCCACACTGACACGTACACAACATGTCCTTCCAGAGAGATGATGTCCCTTGATTCAAGCACTGTCACTGAGGCTGATAACCACTTGGTCTACTTTTGATCAGAGTCCCTGCAACACCCATATAACTTCTCAATTCATGCCCACCATGCCTCCTCTGAACAAGCAGCAGGCTGGCTGGGTGGTGTGGTCCTTTCAGCTGCCATCGTAAGCAAGGAGAAGGAACTGGAGAAAGGACAGAGCAGAAGGAAGGAGGTCCACACTGCAGGCATTTGACATGGCTACTAAAAAGAGTTGGAAATTAACAATGCAGTAGATACACTGAACCTGGGTGGCTTCCTTTTGAGATGCAAGTATTAAAATCATTATCTTGATTCTAAAATCCATCCATGGCTACCCATATCCTCTAGGTAAAATGCCAAACATTGTGGTTTTACCTCTGGCAATTTACCCAGACTCGTTTCACTACCTTGGCCCACCACACCCCTACCTCAGACTCTGGATCCTACTACAGAATGACATGTCAACATCTCGCCATCAGCCGTACCTTTGCATGTGCTGACACCTCTGCTTGGAACATTCTTCTCATAGCCTGCCCGACTCACTTCCAATGTTCCTTCCTTCCTTCCCTTCCACTTGTTCTGGAGGATGGTCCCCAGTGATCTTACCTCTTGATAGGCACACTCTCTTGTGGTCTCCTCCTAAACTGAATAAAGTTGACCTGTGTAACCTATAGGAAATTTTCAAGTGTGCGACATTTGCAGCTAGGTCATAATAAAAATATTAAATCCTACCTTCTCTGTCTATTTTGGGAGAAGCCCACTGCCGTATCTTGAAATCATTCAATCATCCCTATGGAAAGGTAAATGTGGTAAGCATTGTACCAACAGCTCGTGGCCCCAGTTGAGCCTTCAAATGGCTGCATGTCTTCACTGTAACCTCGTGAAAGAACACAAGCGAGACTCATTCAGCTCGGCTATTCCCAAATTCCTGACTCATAGAAGCCATGTAAGATAAATAAATATTTACTGTTGTTTTAAGCCTCTATATTTTAGAGTAATTTGTCATGCAGCAGTAGAAATGGGGTTGCTCTTTTCCATAGTATCCTGTGTTCCCCTCCATCAAACCTGGATTCTCATTGTCTAGTTACTTTTCTGTCTCTTCTGCTAACCTGAGGTCATCTTGAGAGCAGAGACATAGCAATTCATCTTTTAATTTACAGCATTTCAGTGGTTAGAGAAGGACTATTCCTAATGACTGTTTAGGTTGCACAACTGCTCAAACATGCCTGCCCAGTGAGCTGGTGTACATAGAGGCTGAAGGCCAGCCTTTGCTCACCCAACAAGCTGAAAGACCCATGAGAGTTGCTGACACTAGGAGAAAGAGGCACTTTTTCCTTTGTGCAAAGGCACCTTTACTCACTAAATCTTGTCCAGGGCCATTCAGCTCATCCACTGGGTCAGTCAGGGTCCACTCAGGAGAAAGAAACCATACATGATTTTAAACAGGACAAGTTTGCTTTGTGGAATAATTAACTACAACGGAGGGTTAGCTACTAAGGGTAAGGAGAAGTCCAAACAATTCAGGGATAATTGATCTAGGATCAGCCACTGCCTCTAGGATTGAGGCAAAGCACCCAAGTAAAGAATGAACCCAGAAGACGCCTGCCCACCAGGACTGATTCACTCTGCTGGACAGGACATAATGGGTCCACCAAATGGCCGAGAAGTTTGCTGAGGGGCAGCAAGAGCAGAACTTCCTTTGGAGAGCTGGGGGAAGATACCCATGGGGACACGTCCAAAAGAGACACACCCGGGGACCACACAGAGCAGCCTCTTCTTCCTCCAGTGTCCCTCTAGCACCCTCTCCTGGCAGGCTTACCAGCCACGGCTGGCAGGAGAGAAATGTCCCAGGATCATCATCAAGGCAGGGAAGGGTGGCTTCGAGGCTGAGGCCACAGACCGATAACTGTAGAAAGCAGCCTTTTTCTAATTTGTCCATCCACAAGGGACACCTTCTTCAGATTCTCATAAAGGTTACTCTATGGCCCTGATGGTGTGTTTTAAAGAGTCAGGAAAACATGGTTTGGGGGACCCGGTGTTTAAGTGGTGTTAGTCTGGTTTCTTCTTGCTGACTGTTCTGGTGAGACAGCTGCTTCTCAGAGACAATTGGGAGTAGTGTAATCTCATTTGTTATTTGTAATGACCTTGCCTTCAAGCTGAACTTAGTAGCTGCTTGGTACTCCTTCATGTCTCCTACCTGACTGTTCCTTTATATGGCAACCAATTTTCTATTCCGGCTTCCTTGCCCATGGCACAGCAGCCTATACCCTCTTAGCACTGTTGTCAGTACAACACATGGACACCTTGTTATTACAAATGTGGGGCTTGAAAATGACGTTGTGTCCAACAAAAAAGTGTGACAGATGAAAGATGAAACCTTGCCCACAGCCGAATCTGATGCGGATTGAGGACTCCTGTCATTTGGCGGCTGACTTGCTCTTAAGAGCAGGTTGGCTTACAATATCTGTCAGAGAAGGGTAATGTTTTGTGGCACCAAATCACACTAACAGTACCTCCACTAACAGGGATGTAATAGTGATAGATACATGCATAGACTTGCATGGCATGAAACTACGGTTTGTCATCTCTCCCCATTTGTATTATTTTTCTATAAAATGAAATGATAGCATTGCTATAAACATCTAGCAGTCTCTGTTTATCCTGCTGCTCTGAAGAAATATGCTAATTATATGTTGAAGGAAAAGTTCTATTTCTAATGTATTAAGGGCAGAATCAATGTCAGTTAGCTCAGTCAACATTTATTGAGTCTGGTGAAGTTACAAAAAAGAAGAAAATATTATTATTATATCTTTGCCCTAAAGTAACATACAATCTAATATTTCTTGTCATGGTTTTCTGCGGGATCTGTATACTGGACTGTTTTTTTAACCTTATTTCTCCTTTCATCTGTGATACTTTGATATTAAATGAAAGCAGAAAACTAGAGAGCTACACCATAAGACTATCTGGTTTTTGTTGAGTATTACTGCGAACAACCATCTCCTTTATCTTAAGATGTATATCCTCATTTACTAAAGAAACTTGGAAAAGGTAAACAGTTGAAAAGTAAATTTAAATCTAGTTCTATTAAAATGTCTTTGCTAAGCAATTCTTCACACGCCAGAAAATGTCACACAAAACAGAAATCTATAGAGAAGCTTGGAGTGTTTAACTATATTTCTTGGAGAAATACAGGAAAAATAAATTTGCAAGCAAATAAGATAGAGTGGGCCTAATAACCATTACTTTTAAGAAAAGAAACACAGCTACTGTAAATCAAATTTACTCAGCAATAATGTCTTTCTACAGAATTTAAGAAATCAGTTTGGGTAGTACTACTTGAAAGAATGCAAGAATGATGCTGTTGAAAAAGGAAAGGGGTCAGAAGTATAAATGATAAAAAATGAGAATTAATCTGAACATTCCTTGAACTTTTTCCAGGCACTGTCCTAAGCCCCTAGGTGGTATATTCCAAGCCGGAAGTCCCAGGTGTGCTGCCTGCAAGCTGGAAATGCAGGAAGGCTGGTGGGGTGGTTCAGGGCTAGTCTGGAGGCCTGAGAACCAAGAGTGCCAACGTCTGAGGGAAGGAGAAGATGGTTGTCTCAGCTCAGGCAGCGTGAACTGCCTCTCCTCTGCTTTTGTTCTATTCAGGCCCTCTGGTTTGGATGGGATGCCCGCCCACATTGGTGAGGGTGTTTTTTACTCAGTCTAACCATTCACATGCTAACCTACTGTGGAAACACCCTACAAACACACTCAGAAATATTCTTTTACCAGCTATTCCCTTCGCCCAGCCAAACTGACATAAAACTATCACACGTGACTACTGGTGTTATCAGACGGTCTGACTCCTCTTTTAACTATCTGAATCCACTGCATATTCCTCCAAGCTAAAGTAGAGACACACACTTCAACGCGTGTAAATATATTTCGGGAACTGCATGGGATTTCCATTGGTATGAACCTACACAAGAGAGAACCATTGCTGCTATGACATTTACTGAATAAACAGAAACGAACATAAACTTTTTTAAAAGACTCTGATATGCTAAGCAGTGGCAGGTTATTTGACACATACTAAGAAACTCACCTGACATATGCTGTCTGAAAGAGTCGTTCCCATTCTTGTCCATACTAAGCAGTACTTGGCGTCTGTTTTTAGCCTTTGGCAACCCTGCCTCTTGATGACAGTATCAGTGCTGGGGGAATAAAATAGATGTTTTGGAAACCCATGAACAAAGACATAGTCTAGTGTATCAATTCAGAGTGGTCTGGGGTGAAGCAGAATGGAAGTTCCTCAAAGAAGAATCACAATTTTCTTAAAAATCACTTGGTCGTATATAGCAGAATCTCACTCAGACACTCAAAAAAATCTAAGAAAAAACAGAAAAAGGTTTTAGAGGAAAGCCTTAGGGGTCTTCTAGGAAACTCAACTGCAAGAAGTACAGAGCAGCTAGGTCTCCCCATGAAGAACTGGGGGTGCAAAACACCGAGGACAGTTTCCTCTTTCCTTCTCTCCAAGAGTCCTCTCATCCCCACTGGTCTCTTCGGTGATTCTTCTGTGTCAGCCTACTGGCCTCTTCTCCTCGCTCAGGTGCCTGTGGGCCACCCCAACCCTGAGAGAAGTCCAGCAGCCTCAGGTGAAAGGACATGCTGGCTCAGTCCAGCCTGGAGATGATCCATTCGTAGATCTAATCGCCAGCTGCCTCAGAGGGAAGGTAAGAGTCTAATGTACGTGGACATGTGGAGCTGCAAGGGCTCAGCCTAGAGTGCATGGGAGTATGGGGAGCAGGGGAGCCAGAGGTTGTGCAAGCAAAGTAACCAATATCTGACACACATCAATACCACTGCCATACTACTTCCCAAGGGAACTTGAGTAAGATACTTCGCCTCTGCATGCCTCAGTTTCCCCATCTGTGAAATGGGGATAGTAAGAATTTTTTAATGAGGATTATGTGACTCAATCCACATGACGTTCTTAGAATGCAAAACATTTTACCTGTTACTACTATTGTTTATTGGTATTGTCTGGGGTCAGCTCCTACCACCTGTAACTTCAGTAACTTAGAGGTTCAATACCATTCAGCACTCTCCTTATTTTACTGGACAATTTCTCCTTTCCTACATGAAAAATATGGTATTCTATAGATTTGAGGGTAAAAATATTAAAAGATTCCAGAGTAAGATGAATAGGAGGTTCAACTATTTTAAAAACACATCATTGCAGGTCACCTACACTTTTGCACCCTTTAGGCATATAGTAAATTTTAAAATGTGGTTGATAAATAATGGAAAATTTTTGGATTCCAAGGAGGAATGTATAAAAAAATGAGTGTCAGGCAATGGTCATTTGGGCAGTTAGCTAAACTACTGGGATGAAATTGGCTAGTCAGCTCCAGCAACAAATTTCACTGGCTTTTCCATTGAATTGACTATAGACTGACTATTGTATAGAAATGCTCTTGGCACGCAGGCATTATTGAACAAAACAGAACAAAGTAACCCATTTAGATAGACTGCAGTGAAAGAAGCCAGGCTCTGCTGGGAGCTGGTTTTAAATAAACTGCCCCATCTTGAATAGCAAAGACTTTCTTTTCAAATCTTTGATACTTGGAGTTACTTTGTAATTTCTGGTAATAGAGTAGATTAATTTTGGCACAATCCTTGAAACAATCTCCTCCCCATTTTGAAGCTTTTGTGTAGCACAGTTGACAAAATTATTCTAATTCTAGTCAGTCTCTTAATCCTCATTCTTTCTCTGAAATCTGAAATTATACACAGTTTTAAGAAATTAGACAACTTTCCCTTTCCCTATAAAAGGGAAAACTGATTCATTTTTTTTCTTTTGCTAGATTGGTATCTCTATCTTCTCCCTGCACTAACTTACGTTCACTTTGTACTGCCTTCTCACTGTGAAAAAAAAAAAAAACTGTTTTTTTAGTCCTTCCCTCTGTACTGTCACTTCAGATTCACAGTTGCTAAGTGTTCCAGGAGCCCACCAGAGGGACTTTCTCATGGTGTGATTTGCAAACTTTGAAATAACACCCACCAGCAGAAGCACCATATGCTATGGAGTTACACAGTAAACTGACAGGAGCATCTCATTTGTCATTTGAAATTCAGAAAATGTCAGCAATTTTCATACTCAGCAATTGCCTAAATGGCTCTCTGGTTAGCAAGGAGTAACATTTACTACAAATGCACGTGAAAATATGAAATTTTATATTGTGATTCTAGAGGACTAATAATAGCAACATCAGTATTTAAACCTGTACAGCTCAGCAAGCATATGGACACACATATCAAATTTCTGTACTCACTTTAGATCCTATGTGTGTGTCTTTGGATGAAAGGTTTTACCCATAAGATTGACGGCATTTGGACTATTCACATTCTATCATATGATTCAAATGTGCCTTTTTATGATAAAATATAATACCAAAGAATATTTTTAATCCATTAAAGGCAAATTTAGCATAAAACACAAGCTGTTGCCTTTGTGATTAAGCTGAATTTTAATCCAGCTGCAGTTAGCTACAACAGAGCCAAGAGAGAAATCTACTTCGCAATTCTTCCTAATTAAAGGATGTTAATTACTGCTAAATACTATACACTTTCTATGTTATAAAGGTTCACCTAAATCAATGTTATTACAGCACTAAAGAAATTAACAATGAGTTCGAGTCTAGTAAGTGTGGCCAAACTACCCATTAGTTCATATTTTTAAATGACTTCACAATGAAATTTCTGAATTGGTATTGTATAAAGACTGGAACGTCCATGGCCTCACATATTTAGCACATCATTTATATATCCATCATATTACGTGATGGTGTTTCTACTTCAAACCTAAATGTTCATGACATGATAGACGCAGAAGCAGAGATGCTGTGAAAATAAAGAAAGGACCAGAAGACTCCAGGTGTTTCCTTCACTCTGAATTCACCTTTGGTCAGCATGGCCTCCTTGGAATAGAGGATGTTTTGTTAGACTGAGTTCTCCGCTGTATGTGTGAGCAATAGCTCATGACCCATAGGGACAGGGAAAGTTAACATTTACTGAACCTCTGATGTTTTCTCATTTGATAAAACGGTCCTTCAGGGGAAGTATAAACACCCCTTTTTTGCATATGAGGATTTGGGGACTCAGAAGTGAAGTTTCCAAATTTACCCAGTTAATAAGTGGCAGAGCCTTACTTAAAACCATCTCTTTGACTTCGAGTCACAGCTTCTTCCCCCTGAAACATGCTCCTTATTACGTAAAGGAACCTGGAAACTGCATTTTGCTTTATGAGCCAATATTCTTCTTCCCTTATCACTTGTCCAGAAGTCCTGCCAAGTTTATCTGAGTTCTGGCTTGGATGGTGACTTGGAAAGAGAAAAACTCCAGACCGGGCTCTGCCCTTGATGGAAAGAACAACCTAGCAAAGTCACTTTGCCTTTGAGCCTCAATTTCCTCACCTACAAAATGAATAATGACCCTAAGCCTCTTCTGAGATTGTGGTGATGATCAAATGAGGTAATATATTGGGGAAGAAGGTATTTAGACAAATCTAAAGTAAAATACAAGGCAAGGTGCTTTGATCAAGTGCTACCCAGGGGAAGAGCAGAGAGAGCCATTTGGACTTCTTATAAACCACAGATGGTTCATTCTTTTTAGATTGCTAAAATCCACCGATGGTTATAGGCAGTTGCCTATAACTAACTTGCAATTCTGAATAATTTTATTTTTGAGCTGGTCTTTTGTAAGTGAAGTCCAGTGTGACCGTGGAGAACACAAGTGGGCAGAGGAATTATGGACAGTATATGTGCCTGCTTGAATTCCTTGCTACTCCATTAGCATGTAACATTCAGGATACCCCATGAGCACAGAATTCCAGTGGACCCACCACACATGGGAGTTCAGTGAGATTCAAAGCAAGCACAGGGTAAGCATATCAAGTTTATGACTGAGTAAATGGGGGCACTGACAGTTTGAGGGATTCTCTCCCTCAGAGCCAAGATTTGTTTGAAATAAAGAAAGAAGGCTGAAGTTTTCATTACAAGGAAATAAAAATTTGTGACTATGTATAGTGATGCATGTTAACTAGACTTATTATGGTGATGATTCCACAATACACACGATATGAAATCATAATGATGTAGAGCTGAAAGTAATATAATGTTCTATGTCAGCTGTATCTTAATTGAAAAAGAAAAGGAAAGCAAGGGCATTCGAAGAAACAGGAACAACCAGGGAGCCCTATCAGACCCTCTATTACTTACATGTGTTATTTCCCTACATTGGCCGAAAATGATGACACCGAAAAAACGAGAAAGACAGGACATCCCCAAATTCCTCTTTTCAGTCCTTCCTTAGTCGTCCTAAACCAAAGGCAGAAGTGTTGGTAGAATGTGTGCTCTCAAGAAGTGAAATAAAAGCACTCAAGTTAGCTTTGCACAACATTCCACTATTTTTCTAAGAACAAAATACATAGGCATGTATAAGCTATGTAATACAAGTTGTATAATTTTAGTGATTCTGCGTGTGTTAAATATTCTTATATTTGCATTTTAAACTGTCACTTATAAATCTGAAGATGAATGGTCAAGTTCATGCTATAATGGGCCTGGAAAACTATGTAGCCATCCCTGCTATTAGCATTTGTGATTATGGAATCATTTGGCAGAGCATCTGATACATACTGAAGACCAAGTGAAGGATGGCTACTATTGTGATTGTTCCTGAGTTTTATGCTGTTAAAAGTGTAAAGACAGTTTTATGCTGTTAAGAATATGAAAAAGATGCAGTAGAAGGAAGAAATTAAGAATGCATATTCTGAAGTCAGACTGCATATGTATAGGTCAAAATTCATGTTCTTCCATTTTGTTGCTGTGTGATTCTAGGTAAGTCACATAACTATTCTGGGCCTCAGAAAGTGACAGTGCAGACAACATAAGGTTGTAGATAATCAGTGACTCAATGTGTGTAAAATAATGTCTATAGAACATATAAATGTTCACTAAATGTTTGCAACTATTAATTTTGTTGTTGGAATACAGAAAAGGGAGAAATTAATGCCACCTTGGAGAAATCAAGGAAGGCTTTACAGCAGGCTTTGAGCTGTCCCTTATGAACTTGACATTCAGAAGTAGAGTTAGAAGAAAAGCCAGCCATTACAGATGGTTCAAAAGGGCCTACCCCATTTACTGAGTGATAGGCAAGTCACATTAATCAGAGGCATCTCCAAACTTTCAAAAAACTTTTGTACAACTAGGCTAGCATGCTGTTCTCTTTACATGTTGATTTATGCTCTTAGGAAAACCATTACAAGAAAAATACAACTTTTTAAAAACATGTAGTTGTCAAAAACAATCCAAGATTCCCTCACTGCAAGACTGCGTAAGAGAACCTCTTAGCAGAATGAAATTGCTCCTAATGTGCAGGCACACACAGGAATCAATCAGCTCTTTCCTGTAGCACTTCTCTGTTCATTTTATATAGTTGCCCAGTTTGACAAGAATCTAGAGAAGGACTGAGGAGCATTGTCAGCATAAAGATAGGAGAGAAGTGATGTACTAGGCTAATAAAGGGACTCACAAAGGTCCCTGAAGTCATAAATCCTTCTTGCAGCTTTTAAAATCTGTATCCTTTGTAGGATTTTGGTGATGGAGCTTTGACAGAGTGCCCTTTCTACCCTCTACCCTGCATGTCAGGAACCCCAAGCTAAGTGCGAGGAGAGAAGACAAATGTAACTTCCTGCCTTGACTGGGCTCCTCTCCTCCATGAAGGCACGTTGCAGCCTTGCCGGAGACAAGAGTAGCATTACCTGGGCTCCCCAACCCTCTCCTGGGCTGCCCTGCCCTCCCCATGAATTCTCAAGATTGCTCCTTTCCCATGCACACTTCCTGATTCTCTTATGAGTCAGTCTAAATTCTGGCACTAATTCTTAGCGTTTCTAGTAAATAGGGGCGGGATGAGGGTGGGAGGCTGGTTTCAGTCAGATTCTGTAGGTGAATCTGGCATGGGAAATACTGCGAATCAGGCACTGGATTTTGAAAATCCCACATATGAACAGTGTCCAGGGATTTCACAAATAGGTCATCTTTGCACATGAGCAATGACCACAGCGTTAGGGGAGGCCACGGTGAAGATGTGACCTCTGGTTGTCCCCAAGAGCTGGACAGGGCATTTGGAGGCTCTGCACCCCCAACCTGGTCCTTGGAATGCACATTCCACCCACCGTTCCCATTGCCAGAGCTCTTTCAAAGATGCAGTCTTGAGACAGTGATGTGGTGTTGAGACCATCTGGATGGTATACGTGACTAAACCCAGTTAAGACCTCTACATAAACTGAAGATTCTGGCAGGTGGTGTAGAGATCTACTTAGATTGTGGCTGCCCAGGACAAGC